CACAAGTGATAAAAAAAATATCACAGTGATCTTACTGACTCAGGCTAAGGGGGAAACATGAAACTGAGTATTCCTGAATTTTAAATATTACTCTGAGAATGTTGCTTCCTAGGCTTTTCAGTATTCATTTCCCCCGAAATTAAGCTAGTAAAGAATCGCTGGTAGAAGTTAACAAGGGTCTGAAGATTAGATAGAAATGCCTTATAATTATTAGAGACAATTTTTAATCAAATTGATGCTCCTGGTTTAGGTTTATTATCCCTTCGGCCTCCGTCCAAGAATCAGTTCTGAGCACCTCTCCTGAGCCAGGCTCCGGCACATGGCACGAATGAGGTGGTCACAGTTGATGAGCTCAGCAACTACCTCTCACTCCAGCCAGCGCTCACCTGCCTGAGAGCCAGCAGAGTCACTTAACGGCACTCCATCCTGCGTGTGGGTGTCCTCAGTCGTAAGAGTTTAGGAGTTTTCACTCTTGTCAGTTTCGCTGCTTCCTCTAAAAATAAGTCTTAATCTAAACAAACAGCACAATGGTGCTAGCCCAAGCCTGGACTTCATAACTGGCGCTTTCTTCTTCAAAGATTGCAATTCATGAGCTCAGGAGGCACTGAGCTGAGCTGTCTGCTCCCATGCATAAATCACCCAGGGGCTCCAGGTGGAGCCCAGTGCCACAGGGTGTGCTTAGCATGCTGGAGACCCTGGGTTTGAGCCCCAGCACCAAAAAAAAAAACCCTCACAAAACAAAAACCTCACCCCAAAAGGCTACACATGCTCAAATATTAAGGACAAAGGAAACAGCAAGAGATTAATGGCCAGCGTTGCTTCTCGAGGGTCTGAGTCTCTCTCTTTCCCCAGCTAATGGTACATTTCTAATCGCTCCATCAGGACCATGGCCCCTGCTGAACGCGTCAGGGCGAAGGTGAGAGAGCAAGGCTAAGTGCGCCCAAGCCCACGTTCTCTCCAATGGGTTGAGGTTTTCTTCCCAGTCTCCCTGCCATTGTATCCCAAAGGCCATGATCTGAGTCATTACATCTAGAGGAAATGAACACAAGCCCTGGACACGTGCCAAGATGTTGCCAAACACCCCATCAACACCAGACGGCGGCTCACGTGGACGTTTCACTTTAGAGCCGGCCAGCATGTAGTTCCATAAGCAGAATGGCGTGCCTATTGAATTTAAAGGACAGGAAATCCATCTTAACTCTTGTTACACCAATTTTAACTTAAAGGAACTCTGCCTCTCGAGGGGGGCGAAGGGACTGATGGGAAGGGACTGATCTGCACTGATGAGATCTCCTCCCATTCACCCCGGGGCAGCAGCCATCAACCCTGTGCAGGGCCCACCAGGTGCTAGTGTTCACACGGGAACAGTTTGAAAGTTCAGGTTTCACTTTGGTTTTTTTGGAGAGGACAGAGGGTATCCTCTTTGCCTCTGCAGCAGGAAAAAAAAAAAAATACGCTGGAACAGGAGTGGAAGTACAATATACAAGAGGTGATAACAGAAATACCTCCAGCGGAAGGAGAGCACCTGGCTTCAGTCCTCCCTGAAAACCTCCTTTTCGTGAAAACCTTCTTGTCCCACACTCTTCCCTCCATTCCCTGCCGCTGGCCTGTTTCAGGGCAGAATCACGGGCAACCTCAAATTATCAGATCAACTCCTCTCCTGATGCTGGACACAGTGTGATGTGCACTCTGAGGGACATCTTTAGTGCCTTGCCAACAATTTGGCCCAGGAAGTCCCTGTTAACTGCATGAAATCCACTCATTAGAAAAGACAGATGTAAAGCAGAACCACCTTGTTGAAGTATTGCATTTGTGTACCCGTAGCCCACCTGCACATTCAAGGGAAGCAGGCCACCAGGTTGTTGGTTAATAACTGCTCTCTCCGGAAACCCGGTTCTGATTTACTTACGCAGATACTTTGAAAACTCTTTGAGAGTAAGTTTAAAACCCTGTTTAAATATTTATGCGAATCTACACATAGGTATGATTTTAAGGACGATTAAACCAAAGAGTTAAGTCTGAGCATTACAACTTGGACTTCAAGCCAAGGAAATGGAACTTGACATATTAAAGTCCCAGAGGAAAAGGTGTCAAGAGCCACATAGGAAAGGTCGTGCTGGGAAAAACATCTTTATCGCAAGGCGAGCCCTGGCTGCAAAGGAAACGGGGAATGAGTGTTTGATAACGTTTACAAAGCTCCGTTTGTGTGTGGATCGTGAAGTGTTTCACAAGCAGAGCGCAGATCTCTCAGGGGTCAAAGAAAACTCGGGCCTTTCCCGTCCCTGAAGCCAGCAGCTGGAAGTCTGGCTTACCTTCAGGGGAACACAGGGGCATGGCAGTTGGATCTTCCAGCCCTGAGGGTATTTCTGAATTCACCACCATCACAACCACCAAAAAGCCTCCACCAACTGGCCCTGCACAAGTCGGGAGTGTGGAAACCAGGAAGGTGGTGTCTTTCCACCTGCCCAAAGCTCCAGCGGTGGTGGAGCTCACGCTGACTTAGAACCAGCCTGTCGACCTTCAGTCCGTCTTACAGAAGGAAGTCGAGGCCCTTCTACAACACCACTGCTCGCCCTCACACCAGTTCTGCTGTCTCTGGGGTGGACAGTCCCCAGGGCCTGGCTCCAAACCCCTTCACCGTCACTCACACCCTGTTTCTCAGGTGGGATGTGGCCACACACAAGCCCCACTATCATCTCCCCACTGTGGAGATGCCATAGGCAAACAGGGAAGAACTTCCCAAAGCATCAACTTTAAGGAACAAACTTTAAAAAAATGGATACATGACGCATGACGGAATAAGACATCTATGTTCTCCCTCTTGAAAGTAGGAGTCATCTTCAGACTGTGGTTTGCAAATGATTCCAGAGGATCACGCCCTGGGGACAGGTGTCCTCGCCGCTCTAGGCAGGGAGACTTCACGTAGAGCCTTTCCAAGAATCATTTTCTATTTCTGACCAAGTCTCTTGAAATACAGGGCCCACAAGGAGGGGAACAGCTAACTCTGACCAGAACAAAGGATACCACTGTCACCTCCTTTGCAAGAGACATGGCACCGCTAAGGATAGAGCAAAGGACAACATCCCCTCCTTTAAAATATGTTTGCTCTGACTTTAGCGAGCACCTTGGAAACTTCTTCTGAGTGG